GATGGCTTGGATATTGTCTGCTAAGGGACGAATGCCTTTCGGCGTGACAAAATGACCCAAGTACTCAAGCTCTTGCTTGGCGAATTCGCACTTGTCGAGATTCGCTTTGTACTTGGCTAGTCGCAAACGATTCARARCAACGCGAAGGTGTTCGATGTGCTCGTCCAACGTCCTACTATAAACCAAGATGTCATCAAGGTAGATGAGGACGCTGCGATCGAGCAAGTCGCGAAACTCAGTCTTCATCGCTGCTTGAAAAGTTGTGGGGGCATTGGTGAGGCCAAAGGGCATGACAACTCACTCAAAATGCCCGTACCTCGTCTTGAACGCGGTCTTGTACCGGTCTTGAGGCTGGATTTCAATCTGGTGGTAACCTGACTTCAAGTCCAACTTCGAGAAGTACGTCGCGCCGCCTAACCGCTCAAGGAGATCATCAATCCGAGGGAGAGGGCCGACGTTCTTTACGGTTTGTGCGTTAAGTTTCCGATAGTCGATGCATAACCGTAAGTCTTTGCTCTTCTTCCGGACGAAGAGAACAGGTGCACCGTATGGCGAGCAACTAGGGCGAATCCAGCCCTTGTCGAGAAGGTCATCGAGCTGTGCGCGAAGCACCTCGAGTTCCTCTTCGCTCATGCGGTAGATACATCCACGCGGAGGGACGGCGCCAGCCTCGAGAATGATCCCGTGACGTATGGGCCGATCCGGAACCGTTCCGGTGGGAGCCTCGAAGACGTCTCTATACTCGTCCAAGAGGTGAGAAATGCGTGGGTCCGGCGGTGACGCGGCTGGTCCGTCCAGCGAGGGGAGAGCATGCAAGAATACAAGGCCCATCTCCCCGACGTCATTCCGAGCAATGGCGTCTCGAATTCTTCCAACGGAAACCACGTGACAAGCAATCGAAGTGTGAGGGGTCGCGACCGTACATGGGACTAATACTCCGGTCCGATCACGGATGTGAACGGTTCGGTCATGGAAGTTCACCGGATGATCGGCGCTACGCAACCAAGACATGCCTAGAATCATGTCGAACTTGGTGTCGAGGATGTCAAAAGACACCGGCTCGCACGCAAGTGGCGCAAAGTAGATCAGAACGCCATCAACGCATCGGTCAATTGACTTTTGCGTGCGGCCGTCCGCGAGTGTAACTTGCGTAGGTTGCGTCTTCCTTCGAACGCGCGGGCCAAGACCTGCGCGGGCCATAAAGGCTTGGCTCATAAAGTTGCGAGACACTCCGCAATCAATCAAGGCACTACAGGTTGCCTTTCCGATTTGAATGCGGATATAGAGCAAAGGTGCGTCGATATCGGCGTACCTTTGGGTGGTGTACTCGCGGTCAATCTTTGCAAGATAGGAGCGGAGATTGACAACCGCTACCCCGTCGTCCGTCAACGGAGCTGGTACTGTAGTGTGCAAATAGGAGCGTAGAGTTGCCATCAAGGCGTTGCAATGCGGCCTTGGCAAGGTTCCGGTCGAGGGTAGAGGCATCCAAGCGAAGTCCTCTCTCGTGAGCTGGTCAAGCTCCTCAAGTCTTGACCACGCCGTTGAGTTCTCGGAAATCAGTGGCGAAGTGACCGGATCACTTGCCGACGGTGTACAGGCTGCGCATACGCAATCTACATGCACGTGGCTAGGCTGGTCTAATGGTGGTACCAGCTGGGCCGCATAATCCTCGTACGTAGCACGAGAATCAGCGACTAACGCATGCTCCCCGGTAGTGACATCGATTGCTAGCAAGGCAACCGGGTTCGGCGAAGTGAGGAGAGACGTCGCCCCTCTCCTTGCGTAACTCAGTTTCCCGAGTTTGCTGGACGGGGTACGCGTGCCTTGCCCTTTTCGGGGCATTGTGCGGTCACATGAGTGACGYCRTTGCACCAGAGGCAGTATCCRTACTTTTGACGAAGGTCATAGACATCCTTGGTTATCTTGTAAGCCGTCCATGGCTGCTGCCCAGTTCCCGTCGATGCYGTCTCTTGTGTCGCCTTGTTCTTCCGAACTCTCTTGGGACGCTTCGGCGGGAGCGCTGCTACAATTCCTCCATCACTCGAGGATGCTGCTGCAGCGTGGAGATCGTCTGTTTCTTCAAAAATCACGACATTGTTATGTGCCGGACGTTGATAGCCCTGCTTAGCCACATAATGCGGCTGGGACTGCCGTTCGTTTGCGGCCTTGTCATCCGTTTGGATGACTAAGTTCGCACGATCTAGAATGGCCTGGAACGTGTCATAGTCGTACTCGTTGCCGAGTGCCGACCGCAGTCCCGCGCACGATCGCGAGAAGAACTCGGATCGTTGATTTGGAAAACTCAAATCGAATCCTGGTGTGGTCACTATCTTCTGCCACTTGGTTGTCCAGTCTCGAGTTGGCATATTTCCTTGAGAGCAGGTGTACACCTCGTTCATGGCCGCCTTCACGACGTTGCGGACCATGAACCGGGTGAACCATAGCTTCTCGAACTCATTCCACGTGGTGTGCGTGTGGAGGTCGGCGATGGTGCATTTGTTGGTAGCCGCCAGATGGTTCATCCAAGCCTGCGCTCCTCCAATTAGTTGCAAGTAGAGTGCCTTCATCGTGTCGTCTGCCGGGACAGTGCGGCATGATGCTTCCGTGAGGAAACGTTGCCATCATGTCAAGGCGTCCGACTTGTTGTAGTCGTCAAACTTGCTGATGTCGAAGTGTGGCATCTTGTAAGTCTTTGTAGCGGCGTCCGGTCTCGTCTGCAGCTTGGTGATGTCCGTCTTGATGGCGGCCACCGTGCTACTGATCGTGTCCGGCCTACTGAAAACACCTATGTCGCCAATGATCATGACGACGTGATCGATGCGCTCATTGAGTTGCTTCGTCGTGTCTGTCGTGCAGCCTGGCGCTGCTGAGGCGTTARCCTCAATGCTGTTGATGCGTGCGAGAGCGAAGTTCAACAGCTGATGCTGTTGCTGCTGCTGCGTTGCTTCGGCGCGGATGGCAGTTGTTAAAACAGCAATGTCTTGCTGGTACTTTTGTCACTGCTGTCGTTTCGTGCGCAGATGTGCCTGCAGCAGTGTGTTATTCCACATGATGCCTCTCATCATGCCCAGCATCAAGTTAGCCAGGTGAGTCCTCTCTGCCTCCGCTGGTGTCGGATCTGCCTGCGCGTCCGAAGGCACAAAGATCATGCCTTGGAGGAACGTTGTCCACTGACTTTCACTATGAATCAGGGACTCCGTACTGGCGGCATTCCGTTGGTCTCGTGCCGCTGCGTCAGGCTCAGCAGTCTGCTGAGCTTGGGCTGCCGCCTCATTGGCCAGCCGCTGACGTTATGCCTCTGCTGCCTCCTGCTGAGCCTTGACGGCAGCTACGGCATCTGTAAATACCTGTAGCCGCCCAAAATAGTCAGCCAACGGCTCACTGGCCCTTCGGATCGGGCATGCGGGAAGAACTCCGGTGGTGTCTGGTACCGTCAATGTTGTACTCGATGCCGCTGGAGTCGTCCGCCTGCTGAGTCTCTGTTGCTGAGCCTTGGTTCGTGGAGGTACCGTAGGTCGAGCACGAACTGCGAGCCTGGCACTGCGCCGTGGCAGTGCCCCGGTATCCTGTTCCATCGACATCAGTGTGGACTGATGCGGTACTTGAGAGGTCCCGGTGGTCATAGGATACGGGGAGGGTAGGGAGAGTGGGAACAGGGGTAGAACAATCAAACAATACGCATACAGTCCCCTGTCCCACTGATGGACTGTAGACACCTAATCAAACAGAAAAATAAATTTTCCATAAACCATTCAAAAATTCGTAATAAGGAATTAATAAYGATTTAATCAATAAAATTAATTAATGATAAATAACGAAATACTCCTAATGATGATCAATAAAACAATGTTTGTAATAAAGATAACCAATAATCATTATTTGCRATAAAGATAATCAATAAACAATAATTGCAATCATAAACGAATTTGAAAGGTATTATGATTAGGTCTCTTTGAGATCACTTTGAGTCCGGGAGTTCACCGTTAACGAGTGAACTACTCGGAAGTTGCAGTTTGAGGGTCAGATACGGCTTAGTGTGCTAAAAAAAAAATTCGGAAAATTTCAGAAAAATGCTCGAATTTTCAAAAACGCGAATTTTCGGGAATTTCCCCCGTCAAAATCCGATTTTTAAAAGCCTAAACCTGTTTTCGGAATTTCTCAAACAAGGGGAACGAAAAAAAAATTTCGCGAAAATTTCGGTCCCAACCCTAATTTTCCGCGTGTCCGCGAAATTTCCGGATTTACGGTCCCAAAACGTTCGAATTTCCCCAAGTTGATCTAAAACCCAAAGATTTCCGTAACCCTAATTTCCAATACTGAAAGACAACGGAAATCCAAAAGAAAACGAAATATAGGATTTACAACAAAATGCCGAAAAACGGAATGCTGAATGGAAATCAGAAA